CGATCCCGTTAGTCGCCCCTTACGACAAGCATAGTCGCCTTTTACGGCAAGCATGGGTTGCTGAAGACCTATTCTATACCGGATCTTCACGGGTCCTGTGCAATGTATTGAATATTAATACATTTAAAATGTATTCGAATACATTACTAAATACATTTAATACGAAAATACGATATAATTCAAGGAAAACCAAATCCAAATATCATATACATGTGTATATGTTTTTATTATGTTCACATACATTCATATATTTATACGCATATTGAGAAATATTAAGTTTAATGAACATGACAAGTATTGAGCTTGTTAATAGTAAATACACATGAACACTCTGCATGAGGTGAGGTGAGGTGAAATTGGGTTTAACGTCGCGTCCAAGATTCTTGCACTTATATAGCGACGTGCATGTACGTGTGTGTGTTTGTGTGGCTGCTTGTACTAGCCCGGACTGATGCCGATTTATAGAGTTAGCTCACTGAGATACCCTGCCGCAGTTTAACATGAATACCCCACTCAGACACAGTATACTGACTCCGAGCCGACCAGTCCTTCTTTTAGCCCCTTAATGCCGAGCGTCAGACAGGGTAAGTACCATCTTTTAACGTCTTTTGGTATGACGCGGCCGGGGATCGAACCCCGGACCTTCCGCTCTACCACTAGACCACGGAGGCGGTCACACTCTGCATGAGTCAATAAACTAAAGCTGAATCATTTCACATCCGTAACTCCACTGACAGGTGCACATCTCTGTGTTTTCTCTAGGAATAGATAATTAACAATTTTATAGTTATCCAATAATTAATAAGATGTAATGTTGTGTGGTTTACTCTTCACGTCAGGTACTGTTATATATTCACCGACAAAAGAAACGCGAATATCATACATGTTGGTCAAAATATGAAGAATTACTCATATTCAAGAGATATTAGATTGGCTCGATGCGCAAACGAACATAATGTTATGTTGTGTGAACCGACGCTCATGAACGCATCACATGTGACGTCATAGAACCATGACTCGAGATGCACCATTTGTCTCTTGCATGATTAGCGTGTAAAGTTTGGAAATCACGTGCAGCATATCGTGATAAGAATGAAGACACTGTGATAACACTCGACTGAGTGTTCGTTTTGTCATTAAGTGGTACACATGGGAAAACCTCTTCGTAACATACATACTTCTGTATTTGTTTCTATGGTTCGCGTTTCTTTTGACGGTGAGTATATAAAGTACAACAGGAAACAACAGCATTGATGAATACACAATGCCATTTAGAAAGTGGTCAAATGTAACACATGTTATACTTGGTTTAACATTTCCTTAGTAAAGTGGGGGCACGGGTGGCCCAGTCGTCTAAGGCGCCACGATTCGTTGTGCAGAGTTGCGTCCCTTGGGCTCGCCAGAAACCTATGATTGTGGGTTCGATTATGTTTCTAGGTTTGTCAGCACCATATCCGTGCTCGTGGGTTTCACCGAAGTGGTAAACGTCCGAGACCTGCATCACTTCGGGCTTTCCTCCCACATTACGCTGACACGCCGTGATATAACTGGAATACAGTTAAAAGCGGCGAAAACCATCTCACTCACTCACCTTAGTAAAGTATACAAATACCTTTTGGGTTGAATCCCATCCGGGATTCGAGACACCTAATCGCCATCACACGAAGTCAGCGATCTCACACACTCAACCAACGAGGCTTCCACAAAATGTAAGTCCGACAACTGGTAGTCCGGATCTTTGTGTACCCCTCTGATAAGTGTAAATTGTCACGGATCCCATGGTCCACAGCTTTGCATCACTGATTATATCAACTGTAAATAATTTTAATACTAACATCAGATCAAAGTGATGGCTGAGAAATATTTTGAATACACAATGCCATTTAGAAAGTGGTCAAATGTAACAAATGTTATATTTGGGATAACACTTTCTTAGTTAAGTACAGATTCTCGTACTTTTTGCGGTTGAGTCCCGTCCGGGATTCGAACCCACACTTGCCAGAATGGGGCTCCTAATCGCCAGCACACAAAGTCAGCGATCTGATGGAGAGAAATATTATCTCCCATACCTTTAAGGGCCAGGTGTATTGATGGAGAGCATGAAAGGGAGCGGATGGAGGAAATTGGAAGTTTGCTTAAAGGGGGCGGGGGGGATAATACTTGCTGCTAAGTGAGAGAAGTGCTTATTAAGCCTATTGTTTTCATGCAGGCATGTGGGTCGTATAAATTGTAATTAGACAATTTGTGGTACAAGCAAACGAAAGGATGTAACATTAACAGATAAGCTATTTTGTGCAGGACAATGGTAAATAAATGGCCCAAAGGTTTAGACATTACAGATGAGTAACGTAACTTTAGGTGAGTCAAGAAGTTTGAGGTACTGTTTTTAGGACCAGAGATAGTTGATGTACAGTGCTTACACATGGCTCGGACTGTCCCTGTTAAATGTTTTGGTGTCTCGAAATGTGTGAACACACCTGACTGTTTTTTACCAACCATGATGAAATAAGTAATTATGTTTAACAATGGTGATGACGTGTAGGCTAGGGCAGCCAGTGAACGACTGGGTAAATACTGACGTGAAGGCTTGGACAGCCAGTGCGAGACAGGGTAAATGCTGTCACAAAGAACAATGACACCCCAGGTGGACCCCAAGTGTAGATGGAAAACAAACCTGCCATACGTTGATTACCAGATGATCCATGGATGTCCAGATAAGCAGCCTTGCTGTACATCACATGTGTCATGAGTACCAAGAGCACAGTAAGGGAACTTGGCTATATTGTTAGATGTTTGGTAAAGACAATGTTAAAATTACTGTAGTCCAAACACACAGTGACATCAGTTAAGTGCCCAGCATGATCAGATGTTGGCCAAGTGCAGGTTAGAGAAATAATAAAATGGAGCTTTTGTAACTGCAAACAGTTGTGAATGAAATAAGGTGTATTTTTAATATATGTACAAAAGTATTCAAAATGTATTCAAGAAGACAGGGGTTTTCAAGTGTGTATTCGAATACAATACGAATATATATATATTCATGAGTTGTTATGAATACTGAATGCATGTGAATACTAGTACTCATTTGTATTGAATAATATTCGAATACGAATACCCCGGGCCTGGTGACTATCATTACAATAGGTAAACAGGTGCGTGAAGTGTCGCCTGGTGAAATCATTGTTAATAGATATACTGTTGCAAATATGTGTACACATGTACAAATATGGCTTATATATTTTTAGGATACGAATGACGAATTGCTAGAAGAAATATTAGAAAGCAAAATAGTTCATGTGTTGATGGCGAAATAAATAACATTGTTAAAAGGGTTTTGTCGCTTTTCAGTTTATCTGTGCTGTTACCCTTTTTGAGAACACCTGGTGTCATCGCTGTTTTTCAGTGATCCATGTATTTCATTTGTATCACTATTCGTTGACATTTAATATTGGTATTTTATTTTACAAGTCAAGATTAAACATGTTACTTGAACGCTAGATACTCATGAAAATGTCACTCAATGAAATTTTTAATTTTTAAATGTTTAAACCCAAATCAATTAAACCTAGCATGCGTCTTACGGTAGGAAGAATGCTTCAAGGCTTCAAGCTGAGACCTTATTGTTCATCACCCTGCCATATCCTAAAAAGTGGAAGTATATATAGGGATGAATTTTCCAGATGAGGTGGATCATATGTTGTTTGTTTAAGGCCCTGGGGTCCGTTCCACAAAGTGGTTGTAGGGCAAAGGTTATCGTAAATCACATACTTTAACATAGACATACGACAGTCGTTGCGCTACGATCGCCTTGTGAAACGAGACCCTGCACTACTTTCGTTTTCCCTCCAGACTCCTCCTGTAAGACCCATTGAGAAACTTGCCATTTTTTCACAGCCTCATACAGTAAACGACGTTTATATAACGAACACGCTTTTAACGAACTGGCCGATATAACGAACTGTTTTCGGGGGGGGGGGGGTATGGCTTCCGTCCATATGCTGTATACGTGCTTACAACGAACTACGGTTGTGACGAATTAAATGAAGTGGTCCCTTTGAGTTCGTTATAACCGTAGTTTTCTGTATGGTGAAGCGTATTTTGGCCCTCGTGAAACCAATTTCCCCGCGTTTCAAGTCTGACATTATGGTTCAGTGACTCAGTGAAAGCTGATTTGTATTGGATAATTCTTTGGGTAAACGTTCTTTTGACGAAAACTCTTAAAGGTTACCGTCAAGCCTTCAAGAGTTAATATTTATTTATCTTTCACCATATGACGTGCTTCTGTGCGTAAATGTCAAGCCTTCGAAAGTTGCAATTTACATACTGAAATAATGTTTCGACTGTTTTAAAGAAAATTATGTTAATCTGTTCAAGTCGTACCATGGCACGTGTGTTTATTTGATGAGTATGCTGACAGGTATCACCCTAATGATGTCAATGATTATAGCTTAATTAGGCACCAGCTGCATTTTGGGGATATTCGTACTCATCGACCCCTACACAAACGGAAGTATTGAGGCGCACAAATAAGATGAACGGGAAAGAACGACAGGTGCTGATTCGGTTGATCAAAGGTGACTGACTCTTTATTGACTTGCCTTTCACTGTGGTAATTATATGCATCCCCGTTGTGATCCACAAATTCGAGTGAGTGAGTGAGACTCCGCTTTTACCAATAATTCAAGAACCGACAAATAATAATCAGGTTGTCAGATCGTGTGTCCAGGCTACATGAGTAGGTGTCAGATTTAATCCGGCCCATGTCGGTCGACGGTCAATAGACATAACACAAAGGTTGGGCGTGGCAGCGATGCACGGACTTCACGTGATGGTGCGGCCTGCTCGTGTTTAGTACGTGTTCAACAGGTGTGCGACGGTGCCCGTTATCTCTCAGAGGCAAAACAACGCAGACGACAGAATATCAGGTGTGAGGATTTTACAGATACTTTGTTAAATTCAAATCGTGAGGATTTGTCCTAAAGGATGACTTAAAATGTGTGGCTTCTAAAATGGAGTTTTAAAACAGACCCTGTGGATTTGATTGTGTGATATATTTCAAATGGAATTAATTACCAAATACCATGATATGTTGACGACCTTCTGAAGTGGAAACCTGGATGACCACTTTGGAAAAGGTAAGTTTTAAAAAAACAATCATCCAAGAGATCATCAAGTGATATGACTTGTTATCCATTTTGAATACAAGTCATTTGCCTACTGTCCGTTGGTATTTTAAATCTAAAAGCTGGACTTACAAACGATCAATGCGTATGTAGCTCTTATTTGAGTTTTTATTTCAATTTGAATCGGTTTTAGAACACTCTTTTGGGATTGTCTGTATCATTTGAACTCTAAAATGTTGATTATTCATGCCATTGTCACGGTAAGACAAAGTACATTGTCTTGTTATTGTATTTCACGATAAGCGACACTCAGGATCTCAGAATGTGGTTTAGTAAACTGTCTGTTCACATTTACCTGATATGCTGTTATGGCTGCGTCGTATGTTGATCAGCTTGAATGACATATTGCTAATGTGTACCTGTCGTTATTAACGTTCACAAATCATTTCATATTTCTGTTACGAACATATGAACATCATGTTATCTGTGTCAGTAACACTGGTCCTGTAATGGAGATGTGCTCAATGGTCAAGGGTGTCTAAAAATAAGAATAGACTAAGGAAGAGAATTTTTGGATGTCAACTTCTTTATTATGAGGAACACAAGGTTTCGGAGTATATCCTTATCCCTTAATCAGTAGGAGTAAGCATATACTCCGAAATGTTGTGTCCCTTATGATAAAGAAGTTGAAATCCATAAATTCTCTTCCTTATGTGTATCACTTCTGTGAACGCCTTTCTGAACAACATTTTTGTCACTGACACGTCAAATTTGGAAATGTCCTCCACATGTCGACTGTACCATAAATCTTTTCGAAAGATTTACAATGCAATGCAAATGTTGTTGCATTCTTGCAAATATTCTTGACTTTTACATGACGTAAGTTGCCTATTATGGAAGTTCTGAACGCCTTTTAAAGACTTGAAGAATAAAGTAATTTATGAAAACGTGGCAATAAGTACCCAGGTTTATTAATAACGGCTAATTGTACTAATAGATGACAATAAAGGATCGGATAAACACAAACAGCGCTGACAACGATAACTGATTAATTGCATCAGCGCAAATATACGACCGGCTTAGCTAAACAACTTATTACATTCATAAAAATGAGTAGCTACAACAACACTTTGACAAGATACGGAAAAGATGCGTTGACAGTCAAATAAGTCGGCTGCGACCAATAAACACCTGAGTCCATTAACTCACCACTCTAATAAGTGAATAACCTCGGCTGGGTAAAATAACTGGAAATAAACACAGAGGGCCTCTCCCTAAAATAATCCCAGACCATAAGCTATCCAACGCTATCATTAAGGATACACAACAAGCTATGTACAGTTATTGAGGAGGCAAAATTATCATAAATACAATCATTTTGCCTCCTCATTATTCTCAAACAATGAGAAATTGTGTGTCCTTTTTTAAACATGAGGTCTATGTCACTGCCAAAACCTGCTTTTTAATATTACAACGCAGAAAACTATTGCCATATGGGTAAAACGTTTTTTATCGGTATATATCATCGAGTTCTGTGTATCGTCTCTCATAACTTTATATGTGTGGCGCTGTATTATTAATTTTATGACTAAACGTCTATTTTATGCATGTTGTTTATGATGTACAGCAGTGAGACGAAAATAAAATATCTGTCTGACTGTCTGAGAAATATCTGAGTGTACATATAAATTCCCCTGAGATTTGAAATTCATAGTTACAAAAACAATACAAGAATAATGTAGCAAACATATAAGAGATAACATACATCAAGTCAATACATGGTTTCAGAGTGATTACAAGAGAATGAAATAGTCGGGCCACTAAATCTCTTGCACAAAATGTAATCACGCAATACGTGGACGACCGCCGGACTTTGCCGAGCGGTGCCGGAAATATAGCCGGTCACTTGGCCGTGACACGAGCAGATCAATGCCCCGATGATAATCTGCAGCTCTATGTGATATGTTTAGACAACAGAGACGATATGACTCATGATACAATTCTCCGGAAGAAAAGGAAAAAGAAACCCTTTTGTTATTGACAGTTTAACGCACAATTCTTCAAGTGAATAAACAGCACAGCTTCGGATTATATGGGATGAGTCTTTTACGTGGAGTGTTCATTGCTGAGTGCGGCGTTAAACAAACACGCAGAAAACGAGAACTTTAATATTATATAAGGTTGTATCTTGGTTATTGAGAAGCCAAAAAAAACATATGTGTTCATAGCTATTGAAAGCATATTTTGAAAACAATAATGCTTCCTTACATCATCGTTGATTGCTTTTATGGACTGCAATGTGACATACACACTTCTAGTTTTGTGGCGCTCTGCAACATACTCTTGTTGAATGTCCATAAAAAATATCCATCAAAATTAGAGTCAGTTGCACGATTCCGACCGTAACATAACATGTGCTTATGAATCACTGTCGCGAAAAGACGGGAGTATCCTGCCCCACCGGTGGCACACGTCACAAACACAAGTCAATTGTTCACCTGAAAACACATGGGAACATATGGTACAAGTCAAAATAGAGAATTGCATCGAACAACATTTTTGTCACTGACACGTCAAATTCGGAAATGTCCTCCACATGTCGACTGTACCATCAATCTTTTTGAAAGCTTTACAATGCAATGCAAATGTTGTTGAACACTATTCTTGAGTTTTACATGACGTAAATTGCCTATTATGGAATACAATTTTTTTTAAATTTGAAGTTTACACGACATACGGCTTTTTCATTGGACGAGAGGTCGGTCACACGAACGCAAAATTGACGTTCATTTATGTGTATGAACGACACAATTTGACGTTCTTACGTTTTTCACGAGGCCGTGTTCTGAAATGACGTAAACACTGACTGACTACTTCCACATCCTGGGGGAACCCCTGGGATTTCCCGAGGACGAATACATACAGAAGCGCTGTTTCTGATCATTTAAACCCTTTAATCTTGATTTCATCGTTTTGGGAATACACTGAGAAAAGTCAGAAAGTTTAACTGCACGATCTTTCACGAATATCCTCGCTACGACCCATCCTAGTGAACAAAAAAATGAAATGCACATCCAAACTATCGTAGTTTCGACTCGGTCCGTGTCTAGGCTGACAGTGACAGTCTACAGCAATCTATAAATTTTAGTGTTTGTTTAACATATCTTTAAACCACCTTTCAATGATCATTGATGACTAACACATGTAACCGCCACAGCTTCACTAACAACTTCTGAAATCTCAAGATCCCCCGTCACGTTGTCAGCCATTTTGACATCTTGTACTTGATGTAAATGTATTACGTCACGCTGTCTTTGTGACTGACTTACTGACGTAGTTCTTAACAAACATTTCTCATCTTATGGTGATACTATTTAGATACATGTGTTGCGTCAGATGTTTCTGAAGAGCAAGTTGTGCATCCATACGCCCATGTCACCTCTCTTTTTGAGGAACTATTGTATTCCGCGATACAACTTGTTGTTGTATGGCTATCAGTGTAAACATGAAGTCACACGTCCTAAATAAAATTGTGTAGAGTCCAAGGCCTACATCAGTCGAGGAAAAAAAATGTGCTAAAAATTATAAGAATTGGCTCTCACTTTTGTGAGTTCTTTGTAGTATGAACCTTCGTAGAGTGAGGGCCAAACATTGTATCAACGTCATTTCAAGCTCCGACGTTCATACAGTTTGGCCCTCAATCTATGAAGGTACATACTCCAATGAACTCACTCAACGTGAAAGTCAATTCTTAATTAAATCGTATTATAACATTTACACAGTGTAGCTAGGAGAAATATTAGAAAACAAAATAGTTCATGTGTTGATGGCAAAATTATATTTTTTTAAAGTGTTTTGTCGCTTTTTATTTCATCAGTGCATTTACCCTTTTTGCGAACACCTGGTGTCATCGCTGATTTTCAGTAATCCATGTATTCCAGTTGTATCACTATTTTGCAATTTACACCCAATGTAATGATCTGTTTTAACGCATAATCGTGACTGATTCTCTTTCGTTGACATTTAATATATATATATATTTATTTTGTCCGTCAAGATTAAACATGTTACTTGAACGCTAGATACTCATGAAAATGTCACTCAATGAAATATTTAATTTTTAAATATTTAAACCCAAATCAATTAAACCTAGCATGCGTCTTACGGTAGGAAGAATGCTTCAAGGCTTCAAGCTGAGACCTTATTGTTCATCACCCTGCCATATCCTAAAAAGTGGAAGCATATATAGGGATGAATTTTCCAGATGAGGTGGATCATATGTTGTTTGTGTAAGGCCATGGGGTTCGTTCCACACGGTGGTCGTAGGGCAAAGGTTATCGTAAATTCAATACTTTAACATAGACATAAGACAGTCGCGCTACGATTGCTTTGTGGAACGGGACCCTACACTACTCTCGTTTACTCTCCAGACTCCAGGAAAACCCATTGAGAAACTTGCTGTTTCTCACAGACTCATATGGTGAAGCGAATTTAAAAAACAGTTTCCTCGCGTTTCATGTCTGCCATACTCTGAATAAATGCTGACTTTTATTGGTTAATTCTTTGGGTAAACGTTCTTTGACGAAAAAGTTACCGTCCTTTTATTTAACGTATTTGTTGTGGCAATTATAGTATGTAGTTACCTTTCCCATTTATATCCTTTATTATCCTTTGTGCAGTGGAACCCGAATGCATGTATGGTTGTGAACCTAAATGATGACAAACGAGTAGGTGCTTGACTGGTACGAATCAATTAAGGCCACAAACAGTCGGGCCCAGCTATCTCCAACTCAGCGGGACCGTGTTGTAACGTCAAGGTATCCGGACATTCGAGGTTTCGAGAAAGTTAGACTTGGACAGCCATTTCAAGATAGTTCGAGATAGCGCTATGTATCTTATCTCGAATTCGAGATAAGCGGTCAAATGAATATGCATTTTTATAGTAAGGAGGTCTTGACCGGAGAATAGGTTTAATATTTCCGCACATTCGAGAAAATGAGGATTGATATAACGGGATCCGTCTGTATCACACTATTCTTCTTTCTCACCACTTTTGCTTTAACAAAACATGGGTATTATTAATTATTTCGATACCCCAATCACTCCAACATAAATTCACGACTTCTTTACTGTATGAAAACAATGATACAAAAACGTCTCTGAAATATTTGCATGTAACTTAATCTACAACGACATAAACAGAAAAATGGCGCTGACATGTGAGACTGAAGGTCCTGTGTCCTCGACCTATGACTGCTCGCTGTCACGTGACTGCCGATTTGCACACGGATAGCAACCACGTGATCAAAACTCGATGTTTATCGCTGGCAAAAGGGATATTTCTTGCAAAGCGCTGTTTGTATTATTTGTCATTACTGTATATTGCGTTGGAATGGCTTGTTTTCTCTTGAAGTCTAATTCTAAGCCGGATCCCCGCGGGGGCGGTGTAAACTGTAAAATCGTTTCTTTAACATTCATGCATTAATTTTAATGCTGTTGAAGACGAATTTCACTTTTTAGTCTTGTGCTCATTTTATTCGGATTTAAGATATGATAGATTTGACAAAATTGCCCAGTTTAAACCTGTTTTCCTTTCCATGCAGCTCTAGATAAACGTCCTATAATATGATTAACAATCTATTTTCACAATCTGTTGCTGTAACACTTTTGCAAAATGTATAAAAGTTAACAAGCTAACTACACTCATCTCAAAGTTATCCTACTTAATGTTAAGTCGTCTTATTTTAGATATTTGTTGTTTGAACATGTTATATGTATATTATTATGGTGCTATTTGTCTCATAAACCTTTATAGACTGGACTTGGCATTTGAACATATATGAATGATAATTTAATTCCAATGTTGTTTTCGTGCAAAAGTGTGACACATTAATAAAATAATTTTCTTCTCCAATTTCTTGTCATCATTCATCGCGACATTTTGTGAATCTGTTCCTAGTGGCGAGGACTAAACACATGGGTATGCATTTTGTCAAGGGCCAGTGTTTTTGTTAGTTTGTCTGTTTAACGTCAAACTCAGCAATATTCCAGCTATGTGGCGGTAGTCTGTAAATACTTTAGATCAGACAATCCAGTGATCGACATCGATCAAGAGCATCGATCTACGCAATTGGAGATACGATTACATGCCCCAAGCAAGTCGGCGAGTCTAAGACGTCCGGATCCCGCCTGTCGCCGCTTACGACAACCCTGGAGTGAGTGAGTGAGTTTGGTTTAACGCCGCTTTTAACATTATTCCAGTTATATCGCGGCGTGTCAGCATAATGTGGGAGAAAAGCCCGAAGTGATGCAGGTCTTAGACGTTTACCACTTCGGTGAAACCTACGAGCACGGGTATGGTGCTGACAAACCTAGAAACATAATCGGGGTGAACCGGGATTCGAACCCACAATCATAGGTTTCTGGCGTGTCCAGAGGACGCAACTCTTCACAGCGAATCGCGGCGCCTTAGAAGACTGGGCCACTCGTGCCCCCGACAAGCCTGGATTGCTGAAGACCAATTCTAACCCGGATCGTCGCTGAGGCCCTGTATTCTGTATGTGCGTGAAACAGCTCCTTTGCTTGGTCGTATCAGTACCCTTAAAGTACTGTATCTAAATGTCAACTTTTCCCTTTGGTTATTGATATACTTATCAATGATACCAGTATATTTGTATTAGCTTGAGTACATAGATGTACTGTATTGCCCTCGTACATCGTATTTACATTGTCGCTAGGGTTATAGTAGGAGGGAAACAGATAACAGTACTCGTTTTTCACAAACCTACTCCATCATCAATAAGAAGTATTGAACAGTAGAATAAAACTGATCAATGTGATCATGTGTCTGGTATTGACGTTTGTTCCGTGTGCTGTCATTACCTCATACTCACGTTTCCCGGATCAAATAAGACAAGTCAGTGTCCTGTTATCATGGCGTGCGGCTTCTAGTAAATGAGCTTCATCGATGGGAAGTGCGGAAGTCTTCATTAAAATGGGTACACTTGCAGTCAGTGATTGCTATTTCCGTCATATATTGTACACGTTTTATCCATACGTATTCTGAGATGCTTGGGGTAAAATATATATTATATATATATATCTATTTTGTTAAATCCTCTTCATATAATTTGTCACACACCATGGAAACACTTTTAAAAAGAACTTGTTCCAGAAGATACTGGTAAAAAGTAATTGTGGGTGTGGTTAGTGGTGTGTGTCCTCCCTTCAAAGGGAGACAAGTGTCGTTTGTACTGTTGTGCAACAGCCTCGCATGTCGTCAGCTGAATTTCAAAATCATCAACCATCCCTCGCCCCGCAGGCAACGATTTACCCTTGCTTTCATATAACGAACTAAATTAAGTGGTCCCTTTGAGTTCGTTATAACCGTAGTTTTCTGTATGGTGAAGCATATTTAGGCCCCTTATAAAACAAACCAGTTTCCCCGCGTTTAAAGTCTGCCATTATACGAAAACTTTTAAAAGTTACCTCAAGCCTTCAAGAGTTAGTATTTATTTGTCTTTCACCATATGACGTGCTCCTGTGCGTGAATGTCAAGACTTCCAAAGTTGCAATTCACAAACTGAAATAATGTTTGTACTGCTTTAAAGAAAATTGTGTTTATCTGTTCAAGTCGCACCATGGCACATGTGTTTATTTGATGAGTATGCTGACAGATACCCTCCTAATGATGTCAATGATTATTGTCAAATTAGGCATCAGCTGCATTTTGGGGATATTCGTACTCATCGACCCCTGCACAAACGGAAGTATTGAGGCGCACAAATAAGATGAACGGAAAAGAACGACAGGTGTTATGTATAATTCGGTTGATCAAAGAACTCTTTATTGACTTTCACTCACAATGCTTACCTGTTGTGAGTTAAGGGTGTTAATTTGTGGATGGATTAAATGAACAATCCATCTGTCAAGATATACTATGTTGACAATGCATATGGCTTTAGCACTTTACATTATAAACTTACACCATCTGTCTTTGAGGCTATTGTAAAACATGGCAACGTGTGGGTGACAATATCGATGGGTGTGTTACTGCTTCGCGTTGTGTAGAGTTTTGTCTTCCAGATAACAGAATCCACACGTTGTAGAAGGAACTTCGAATCCAAGAATCGATCTGATATTGAGAGAGAGAGAGAGAGAGAGAGAGAGAGAGAGAGAGAGAGAGAGAGAGAGAGAGTGTGTGTGTGTTTGAGTGTGTAATAAAGGATTAACTCCGCTTTCAGCAATAGTTCATACTTAATCGCAAAAAATCGACAAATGTGAATCAGGTTCATACATCTTGTTACATTGGCTAGGCTGCACGAGAGTGTGTCACGCCTCGTCGGCCAACCACGTGATCAAAACTCAATGATGATGTTTGTCGCTGAGGAAATGGATATTTCTTGAAACGCGCACTTAGCACTTATTGTCACTTCTGAAAGTAATATTCCTTATCGCCGGGATGGCTTGCTTTCGCTTTATATGTATTAGCCACATACAGCTATCTTCGTTAACTAATCATCGCGATATTTCGTGATTTAATTTCAAGTGGCGATTACGATAGATAATATCATGTCCAGTTGGTGGATCAAGGCTACATTGATATGTCTGTCTTGATCCATAATATCACAGCATCAAGCTTAAATAATGGAATTATTAATATCATAGGCATATCATTTGTTCGTTAAGATAATGATCTCTATAGATTCATATTTGTGATTTTCAGAACGGCAACCATGGCAACGTAAAGAACTCAAAATCTGCTATGAGTGTTTACAATGAGACCGCTTCAGAATGTCGTATCTGACCCTTCTATTGTGTTTGGTTTTACTGAACTCAATAGAAAAATCAGGGCACGTCATTGGACATCTCATATCATGTGGGGATCCCACTTGGCAAAGCGCGGACGTCGTAGAGGACACAGGCGTTACGATGTTGGTTTCTCATTCGTTGATGCCCAATGACGTCGAACTCATACCAAGCTTGGATTATGAAGGTAAGCTGAAACAGAATAAAATCCTTGACTCAATATATCAACAAATACGTATTCTAACTACCACGGGCATTAATGAGATGGCACATTTCATAGGTATAAATGTTTAAAAGTGCATTTCTAACATTGAATGCACTTTAGTGAGGTCACGGTATACAGGCGTGATAAAAATGATATCGTTCGTACAAGAGGACGAGACGAATTTTATGCAATTGGCAGACCCAACTTTCAAGCGATAAGATCACTTTGTGTAAAGGGATCCTTTAGTTTCAGATAAATTACACCAGTCATGTTCCGGAACCAAAACCAGGAAGAGTTACGTATACAAGGTAGATAATATTGAAATTAAATAAACGGTGTGTGAAATAAAAGAGACAAAACCCTTTCCACGATCATAGCGACGACACCAAATGTTCGCGAAAAGGTGAGAATAACCTGCCCTACCGATGGCACCCGTCACACACAAAGGCATGTCAATTGTCCACCTGAACAAAAAGTCAAACAAGGGAACTAAATGGAACCTCTTTTTTATACTGATAACACCAATTTTGAACTTTCCTCCACGTTCAAGAGAGGAACGTCCATAAAACATTTTGAAAGCTATAGTTAGGCCTTGAATGTTGCAACCCCGATCAAACAATTTTGTTTAAGAGCCGTATGACGCTCTTTGAAATCTCAAAAGTTGTGAACAGCGTTTTTTCACTCTGAATAACTCAAATGTGTAACTATAGATAAGGCGGTTTGACTGGACCCTTCTATTACTAATTCCTTTGTGTAAACCAGTGTAATACACCTCAAATAATCGAATCCGGACCGTACAATCCAGTGATTTATATCATAAACATCGGACTATGCAACTGGGATACAATGACATGCATCAACCAAGTCAGCAGACCTGACCACCCGATCCCGTTAGTCGCCTGTTACGACAAGCATAGTCGCCTCTCAGAACAAACAGGGATTGCTGAAGACCCAATCTAACCCGGATCTTCACCGGTCTGATGTTATCTATAAACACGCTCAGAATTTCAAATATGTTTTCTCAGCAGACTTCAGGTAACAATAAAAGTTTTGAGGAAACTTTACCCAAACTTCACTTAAACTTGTTTTTCATAATGTGTAAACAGTTAAGATGAATAAAGATATGAAAGACATAAAACCCGAAGTAAACCAAAAGGTATGCAGAGTTGCGTCGTATGAGCACGCCAGAAACCTATATATAGTCGTGGGTTCGAATCCCGGTTCGTCAGTCGACACACGGCCATCCAGTTTAGAAATATCAACGCCGTGTTTATTACAAAGTATACGAGAAACTATTTCAAGATGTCGCCATGGTAACCGGTTGTAATTTGAACATCTTCTGCGTCTAGATTTACAACAACAGCATAATCAGCAATAATACCGATTCCCATCCTACTTCAGTTTGGCACAAGTGTTCTGCCTTGAGCTACAGTAAACTACGGTTATAACGAACTCATAGGGACTACTAATTTTAGTTCGTTATAACCGTAGTTCGTTATAAGCATACATCATTACTACAGCAAATAGTCGGGACCAAAAAAGTAAGTTCGTTATATCCGTCAGTCCGATATAAGCGTGTTCGATTTCATATTTTAATTCGCGACAGGTTTTTTTGTGATCACTGCAAGTTTCTTAAAAACATTGTTCTTGAATTGAAATTTGACTCCCTCATGGAAATAGATTCCCAACGACTTCTACAAATGTCAAGGGATTAGTTATACAGCATCAACGTGTTGTCATGTAGACAGGTTCGGTGATTTTCTTTACTTTTCTGCGTCTTAGATTTCAAAGTGTCACTGTCATAAGGGAAACATGTGTATTGTAATTTTACTTGTGATCGGCGATTCTGCATTAATAACCTGCGTATCGTGGTATTCGAAGAAAACGGCGTTGGCATTATAAGAAGACTGTTATAAGATGAAAGGGAAAAGAAAAAGCAACGAAACCAGGAAGTTTACATTCAGTCGGGGCCCTCGTCTTCTAAAACGCCGCAATTCGCTGTGCAGAGTTGTGTCCCTTTGGCACACCAGACACATATGTATGATAGTGGGTACGAATCCCGGTTCGACCCGATTATGTTTCTAGGTTTGTCAGCACCATACCCGTGCTTTGGGGTTTTACCAAAGCGGTAAACATCTGAGACCTGGATCACGTCGGGCTTTCCTCTCACATTAAACTGGCACGCTGGGGTATAAGTGGAATACTGTTCAATGAGGCGTTAAACCCAACTGAAATAGTATAATTGAAATCCTCAAAATGTGTTGAAGTGCTCCTTTTGGCTGTCTTGATAACGCTTTTGTATTTTGCTCATTATCTTCTATATCACTCAACATGTGCTGATATGGCCCTTAGCAGATGTTGAGCAGTATATTTAGAATGAATTAGAGTGAGTGAGTTGGGTTTAATGCCGCTTTTAACAGTATCCCAGTCATATCACGGCGTGTTAGCTTAATGTGGGAGGAAAGCCGTAAGTGATGCAGGTCTAAGACGTTTACCACTTCTTTGAAACCCACGAGCGCGGGTATGGTGCTGACAAACCTAGAAACATAATCGGGGCGAACCGTTTTTCGAACCCACAATCATAGATTTCCAAGGGACGCAACTCTGCACAGCGAATCGCGGCGCCTCAGACTCCTGGGCCACCCGTGCCCCCACAATGAATAAGAAGTTCTGATATATTAATAACTATACTGATAAGCCAGCAATACGTGATGGCCTGCATAGCTCTTAAACCATGTACAATATCGATAGGAAATAAGAAACTGCATCCCCTCCGACCATTTGCTATTGAATACATCTTTTAATTTGAAAAACTTAAAAAATTTAATGATCATATACTCAGACACAATACTCCCAAGAGAATTCAAACTTTATGAGGTTGTGTAATATTTGACATGGAATAAATATCATATTGGCATGGCATGAAATTGTAAAATGTTGTTCTTAACTGGGGAAATATCCATCTTCGGAAACCATTTGGCTTAGAAAGCTCGGAAGGGAAATAATTATTGTAGCACTATTGTTGGTTTCAGATGTAATCGTAGCTCTTAAATAAAAAACATGAAAACTTTCTGAAGCAATTCAATAGCCTGTAATGATAACGGAGCTGAAACTTGCGAACGAAATATACATATCTACATATTTCGTAACAGAAAATGTTCAGCTCATCAGATGTGCGACCCGTGAAGATCCGGGGTAGAATACTCATGCATAGAACTATGCTAACGGGATCGGATGGTGAGGCTTGCTGACTTGGTTGATGTATGTCATCCTATCCAGTTGTGTGGATCGATGCTTATGATGTCAATCAGTGGATTATCTGGTCCAGACTCGATTATTTACAGACCGCCGTCATATGGCTGGAATATTGCAGCAGGCGGCATTAAACAAACAAACATCAAATGTGCAGTGTCGGAATGGGCAGAATAGGTTCCCGGTAGCATACCCTGATGGCAAGAGGCTCGTTTCTTTATCGGATGGTAAGGTATCGTATCTCATGATATCTATGACTGGATTGTCTGGTCCAGAATTGATCATTTCCAGGCCGCCATGCACTGTAAAAATGGTATCACTATTTGATAGTGATACATAAACACATGCCGATGATATAGTCGAAATCGTACAATCGAGGATTGTCATCATGAAAGACATGTTTATATCTGAACATGTTCAGAAGTGTGTTTAAATTCTGAACGGAATACACATTTGTTGTGTTCCATGTTGACACATGTAGGTTCAAAACACATGAAATGAACCATCTTCCCACGGCCTAAACACCACTTCAACACAAAATACCAATAATCTAAACGTGTAGAATTTAAAAAAGGTATTTTATTCCTAAACGCCATAACATTATGGGACTGGAACGCCCTGAGGTTTGTTGACCTAAACACATTTTTTGCAGGGCATGTAGCTGGAAATTTGCCTTGAATGTACCTGGTGAAGCGCAGTGCCATGGCGTTATTTCTATTGTACCTAAGTTAGAATCAGAGTAACAAAATAACTTGTATGTAATATATATGTAAGTATAATCACAAGGGTATTGTGCCCATTTACTTCTAATAATAAACGCTTCCACTTTGTTGTTGAATATATCAGATACGCCAAATATCAAAGTAGTTTCAACGCAGTATGCGGGGGCTGTGATTGTTTGTTTGTTTGTTTGTTGTTTAACGCCGCACTCGGCAATATTCCACCTATATGACGGTAGTCTGCAAATAATCGAGCCTGGACCAGACTATCTGGACTATCGATCCACGCAATTAGGAAACAATGACATGCATCAACCAAGTCAGCGACGCTGACCACCCGATTCCGTTAGTCGCCCCTAAATACAAGAATAATCGCCTTTTACGGCAAGCATAGGTTGCTGTAGACCTATTCTAATCCTGATCTTCAAAGACCGCCTCCGTGGTCTAGTGGTAGAGCGTCCGCCCGGAGAGCGGAAGGTCCGGGGTTCGATCCCCGACCGCGTCATACCAAAAGACGTTAAAATATGGTACTTGTTGCTACCAGGTCTGGCGCTCGGCATTAACGGGCTAAAACAAGGACTGGTCGGCTCGCAGTCAGTATACTGTGTCTGAGTTGGGTATTCATGTTAAACTGCGGCATGGTATCTCAATGAGCTAGCACTATAAATCGGCATCAGTCCGGAATAATACAAGCAGCCACACAAACACACACACGTGCATGCACGTCGCTATATAAGTGCAATAATCTTGGACGCGACGTTAAACCCCATTTCACCTCACCCTGATCTTCAAGGCTGCGTAGGCTAAGAAACGACTCGTTTAGTCGAGCACGGAAAAGCCTATGCATTTTTGTTGATTAAATACAGTTTAAGATTTTTTTAAAATGGAGTGAACGCTTAAGTCGATATCATAACGTGTGTTCACCATAATTGGTTCGCATAGCGTCAGTAGCCAAGTCAAGTCGTTATTTCGAAAATAATTTATTTCATTCATATGAGTGTCAAACATTTTTTCGATTTCAGTGCATGTGTCCTCCACCCGCTCGGATGTTCGACTCCAAGGGTTCTTCCTGTCAGCTCTCACACACTCGGACAATACAAGTGCCATTAGCAGCTGGCCAAGCCCATCGAACAGCAGCTGTCCATTTAATACCACTGATTACAATCTGCCAATCACGTTGGAATGGACAAGTCCCATAACAATCGATTCCTGTATCACGTTAAGGTAAATGACACTTATTATCACTTGCTTGGTGCGAACGATTTTTATCAATACATGTGTTTGTTGTTTACCTTAGGTGGTCGGCGAATGGTGAGGTGTTGATTAATGGTTAGGCTTGCGATTTGCTTGTGTTGTTAAGCATAATCTGTACACGCTAATGTGACGTTCGTGATTTACGAGGGGCGTTCAATAAGTTTTGCAGCTTCAATATAAGACAAAGTCGCAGAATAGCTTTTTCACTTTTATTTTTCAATATAATCTCCATTCACCTAAATACACTAATTATTCCATTTGTCCTTCAAGGTTTTAATGCAAAATTTATAGAATTCCGCAGATTTGCCCTCTAACCACGTTTCTGTGGCAGCCTTTATGTCGTCATCCTGGAAGCGTCTTCCACGTAGGGCAGATTTCATTTGCCGGAACAGGAAATAATCCCTGGGGGCTAAGTCTGGGCTGTAGGGTGGGTGATTTAACTGTTCGAATCCACATTCACATAATTCACATATGGATTTCTTTTGCTTGGCCTCTCTCCTTGGTAAGGAACTTTATTACAGCGCGTTGTTCATGTTTGAGAGAATCCATTATTGTGACCACACTTAGGTGAATGAAGCCATCACATCTAAGTTATTGTTGTGTCTGGAACTTGTTATAACTCGTGTCAACCTGATGTTATGACTAGTGTCACATCTGCCACAAGTTGTCATTGTTTGTGTAAACACAAACTCCCAAGTTGCAAAACTTATTGAATGTCCCTCGTACCTATTTTTATTAATTGAACGCACGGAGCTGTACTACGATGCGGTCTTTACTTGCGTATCAGATTGACCTGAAATAGCACTGTTTTCCCTGTGGAAGTATCGGAGTAAAATAGGTCCCCAAGCTTGTCATGCGAGGCGAATAAATAGGTTGGCTGGTCAGACTTGGTTAATTGTGCGTCAACGAACCCCGTTGCTCATAACATCAATCACTGGTTTGTCTGGCCCAGATTCGATCATTTAGGCCCACCAAATAGCTGAAATACTGCCGAGTTCGGCGTTTAAAAATAAACATGCAAGTATGTTCGATGAGGTATGCTTTCTCGTTGGGAAATCGTATTTGGACTCATAAGTCGGAACATTTTGGATGTAAATAAAACATACGTCAGTTGGCGTGAAACATCAAACATGCAAATATATATTCAAAATGTATGCATGCTCGTTTTCAAATCGTAGTTTTACTGTTCAGTTAAAAAAATGTGAGGAAGCAGAACATATGTCAGTTTCACATTTCAACCTGAATTCTTTTGCATTCATCTGTATGTGCCATTTTGGGGGCAATTGCAACTTCATATATTGGCCTTAAACTCCATAAACAAGAAATTAAATTGAGTGTTTTGAGTGGTAACCTCATGGTTAAAGCGTTCCCTCGTCACGTCTCTGGGACGGTGGGGTAACCTCATGGTTAAAGCGTTCCCTCGTCACGTCCCTGGGACGGTGTGGTAACCTGGTTAAAGCGTTCCCTCGTCACGTCTATGGGACGGTGTGGTAACCTCATGGTTAAAGCGTTCCCTCGTCACGTCCCTGGGACGGTGTGGTAACCTGGTTAAAGCGTTCTCTCGTCACGGCTCCGGGACGACGGCTAACCTCTTGGTTAAAGCGTTCCCTCGTCACATCCCTGGGACGGTGGGGTAACCTCATGGTTAAAACGTTCCCTCGTCACGTCTCTGGGACGGTGGGGTAACCTTATGATTAAAGCGTTTCTTCGTCACGTCTCTTGGACGTTGGCTAACCTCATGGTTAAAGCGTTCCCTCGTCACGTCTCTGGGACGGTGTGGTAACCTCATGGTTGAAGCGTTCAATCGTCACGTCTCTGGGACGGTGGGGTAACCTCATGATTCAAGCGTTCCCTCGTCACGTCTCTAAGACGGTGTGGTAACCTCATGATTCAAGCGTTCCCTCGTCACGTCTCTGGGACGGTGGGGTAACCTCATGGTTAAAGCGTTCCCTCGTCACGTCTCTGGGACGGTGGGGTAACCTCATGGTTAAAGCGTTCCCTCGTCACGTCCCTGGGACGGTGTGGTAACCTCATGGTTAAAGCGTTCCCTCGTCACGTCTCTGGGACGGTGGGATAACCTCATGGTTAAAGCGTTCCCTCGTCACGTCCCTGGGACGGTGTGGTAACCTGGTTAAAGCGTTCCCTCGTCACGTCTCTGGGATGGTGGGGTAACCTCATGATTAAGGCGTTCCCTCGTCACGTCTCTGGGACGGTGGGCTAACCTCATGGTTAAAACGTTCCCTCGTCACGTCTCTGAGACGTGGGGTAACCTCATGGTTAAAACGTTCCCTCGTCACGTCTCTGAGACGGTGGGGTAACCTGGTTTAAGCGTTCCCTCGTCACGGCTCGGGGACGGTGGGGTAACCTCATGGTTAAAGCGTTCCCTCGTCACGGCTCCGGGACGGTGGGGTAACCTCATGGTTAAAGCGTCCCTCGTCACGTCTCTGAGACGTGGGGTAACCTCATGGTTAAAGCGTTCCCTCGTCACGTCTCTGAGACGCTGGGGTAACCTGGTTTAAGCGTTCCTTCGTCACGGCTCCGGGACGGTGTTGTAACCTCATGGTTAAAGCGTTCCCTCGTCACGTCTCTGGGACGGTAGGGTAACCTCATGGTTAGTGCGTCCCCTCGTCACGTCTCTGGGACGGTGGGGTAACCTCATGGTTAAAGCGTTCCCTCGTCACGTTTCTGAGACAGTGGGGTAACCTCATGGTTAAAGCGTTCCCTCGTCACGTCTCTGGGACGGTTGGGTAACCTCATGGTTAAAGCGTTCTCTCGTCACGTCCCTGGGATGGTGGGTTAACCTCATAGTTAAAGCGTTCCCTCGTCACGTCTCTGGGACGGTGGGGTAACCTCATGGTTAAAGCGTTCTCTCGTCACGTCCCTTGAATGGTGGGTTAACCTCATAGTTAAAGCGTTCCCTCGTTACGTCTCTGGGACGGTGTGGTAACCTCAAGTTTAAAGCGTTCCTTCGTCACGTCTCTGGGATGGTGGGGTAGCCTCATGGTTAAAGCGTTCCCTCGTCACGTCTCTGGGACGGTGGGGTAACCTCATGGTTAAAGCGTTCCCTCGTCACGTCCCTGGGACGGTGTGGTAACCTGGTTAAAGCGTTCCCTCGTCACGTCTATGGGATGGTGGGGTAACCTCATGATTAAGGCGTTCCCTCGTCACGTCTCTGGGACGGTGGGGTAACCTCATGGTTAAAACGTTCCCTCGTCACGTCTCTGAGACGTGGGGTAACCTCATGGTTAAAACGTTCCCTCGTCACGTCTCTGAGACGGTGGGGTAACCTGGTTTAAGCGTTCCCTCGTCACGGCTCGGGGACGGTGGGGTAACCTCATGGTTAAAGCGTTCCCTCGTCACGGCTCCGGGACGGTGGGGTAACCTCATAGTTAAAGCGTTCCCTCGTCACGTCTCTTGGACGTTGGCTAACCTCATGGTTAAAGTGTTCATTCGTCACGTCCCTGCGACGGTGCGGTAACCTCATAGTTAAAGCGTTCATTCGTCACGTCTCTTGGACGTGGGGTAACCTCATGGTTAAAGCGTTCATTCGTCACGTCTCTGGGACGGTGGGGTAACCTCATGGTTAAAGCGTTCCCTCGTCACGTCTCTGGGACGTTGTGGCAACCTCAAGGTTAAAGCGTTCCCTCGTCACGTCTCTGGGACGGTGTGGTTACCTCAAGATTAAAGCGTTCCCTCGTCACGTCTCTGGGACGGTGGGGTAACCTCATGGTTAAAGCGTTCCCTCGTCACGTCCCTGCGACGGTGCGGTAACCTCATAGTTAAAGCGTTCCCTCGTCACGTCTCTTGGACGTTGGCTAACCTCATGGTTAAAGCGTTCATTCGTCACGTCTCAGGGACGCGGGGTAACCTCATGGTTAAAGCGTTCCCTCGTCACGTCCCTGCGACGGTGCGGTAACCTCATAGTTAAAGCGTTCCCTCGTCACGTCTCTTGGACGTTGGCTAACCTCATGGTTAAAGCGTTCATTCGTCACGTCTCTGGGACGCGGGGGTAACCTCATGGTTAAAGCGTTCCCTCGTCACGTCTCTTGGACGTTGTGGTAACCTCAAGGTTAAAGCGTCCCCTCGTCACGTCTCTGGGACGGTGGGGTAACCTCATGGTTAAAGCGTCCCCTCGTCACGTCTCTGGGACGTTGTGGCAACCTCAAGGTTAAAGCGTTCCCTCGTCACGTCTCTCGGACGGTGGGTTAACCTCATGATTAAGGCGTTCCCTCGTCACGGCTCCGGGACGGTGTGGTAACCTCATGATTAAAGCGTTCCCTCGTCACGCCCAAGGTCCAGATTCAATTATCCACATCGGTACAATGCGTGAAGCCCATTTCTGGTGTCCCCATCCGTGGTCTTACTGGACATTACTCTTAAAGCGGTACAAATCCCAACTCTCTCACTATTACGTCTCGGTAGTTTTAATTGGTTAGCGCTTTAAACTTGTACTAAGTCTCGTTTGGCCATAACGGATTAACGGACATGAAGCTATATACATCTTCTTTGTTTTTAACCGGAAAGTGAAAATTACAAAAAAAAATCAATGCGTTTTCAGAGACCAATATTAATCAAACCTTCCTAATGAATTATCATAATAATCGTAACTCTTATCCCGGGTCGGATCCTCAGTATCTCGTGCTTGCTGTAATCTTGAGCCAAACTTGCGATCAGGCTGATTGAGTATATTTGTGCCCCGACAGGCTTGGGATGCTAATAGTAATGTTGCAGAAATTGTACAAACTAGCTCTTGCGGGGCACGTGTCACGTCGCGTGTGGCCGTGCATCAACTACCGAGAGACGTTTAGTCAATAATTGTCCGTTTGTCTTATGTGTTGAGATGGTAACCTAATTACATGTCGAATAACCTACACGCTCTTTTCGCATCTATTTACTCGACAGGCATGTATATATGTTCGTTAAAGGTGCAACATTGACGCTGGTGTGTTCATAGGACTGAGGGTTGTTCAGGTAACTGGCGAGAGTTCTATGTTCAAACGCTACCCAGCAGATGACGACTTAAATGTAATCAATATTTCTTGTTTCGATTTTCAGATTAGAAGTATTTTACAATTCTTCAGCGAAACAAATTTTATCAACAACACTTTGCAAGCCAACAGGTAATTATTTTGCTTTTTGTAACTGGTTGTAAAAATTATATTTTCACGCCAACAAATAATATTTCATCATCAGGTCATAAGCACAGCTAGCCTTATGATGTCTACCAACGGCGAGATCGCATTGAAACTAGCCATTAGGCGTACAGGTGGACTAGCCCTCAGAGGCGCCACATTTCTCTGTGGAGAGTTACGTCCCTTAGGCGTGCCCGAAACCTATGATCGTCGTTTTCAAACCCCATATTTGCACTGATATGTTTCCTACTTTGTCAGCACCATACCAGTCCCCAGTCGTAACAGGCGCCGCGATTCGCTGTGCAGAGTTGCGTCCCTTGGGCACGCCAGAAACCTATGATTGTGGGTTCGAGTCCCGGCTCGCCCCGATTATGTTTCTAGGTTTGTCAGCACCATACCCGTGCTCGTGGGTTTCACCGAAGTGGTAAACGTCTAAGACCTGCATGACTTCGGGGTTTCCTCCCACATTAAGCTGACACGCCGTGATATAACTGGAATACTGTTAAAAGCGGCGTTAAACCCAACTCACTCACCATACCAGTCCACGTGGGTTTTACCAAAGTGGTAAATGGCAAAGACCTGCGTCCCTTTGGGCTTGTCTCCCCCATGAAGGCGTCAAACCGTTATATAACTGAAATACTGTTCAAACCGGCTGAAAATCAAACTCATTCAGTCACTCAACGGCCAACGTTTGACAAGGAATCTTTTTGTTAACTAGAAAAGAACTTTATTGCACGTTTTTGCTATGCATCTCGAACTAACTGCGGTTTGTCGTAATAGACCATGCAGTGCCAGGTTGTACAATATTACACAGGATTACGGAATGATGAGTCCTCACCTTTGTGAAGGCATGGAGTATATTGAACGCATATATAACTGGATGCTGTAACATTGTTTGTAGACAGATCCAATCAAAAGCACGTAATTGCTAGAGTTTATTAACACGTGATGCACGAAACACAACCCATAGAGACATTAATTGTGTTTGTCAATAAGTCGATTCTCAACCAACCGTTTCCGTTTCCAAGATTCACATTATTGATTTTCGCTAAGGTTGTTGGGTTCGCTTTACATCGTCATTAATTTCAATACCATTATTGATTAATTATAGGGTAGCCAGAGGCAGTATTGATCATTAGAAGTAAAATACTGTTTTGCAAACATTTATAAGTTGTATGAAGTCTAATAATGTTAACTTAGGGGCAGGTCTTTTTTTGTTTACAATGTTACTTCTTAGAAAAAATAAATAAGAAATAAAATATAATGTTTTGATGCAAACATTTTTTGGGTCTTCTTTCATTCGGTAGATTGAAATAATGGACTTTTAACTAATAATTTGATTTTGGCAATAGAGTTTTAAATTCCAGTTTTTAATTCTGGTCTGCTATACGCCTGATCATATCAAGACACAGGCTGACCAAAACATTTCTTAATGAGATTAGCTAACAAGGGATCTTTTTTTGCGTTTGTTTCCATAAACCGAAAACACAATATTGAACAACTGTTTCCTGATGGTTGATAATAGAATCGTGGTTTGCATTGCTAGATTGCGCTGAACAAAGTACAGTAAGCTCGTGTTATAACGAACTCAAAGGGACCACTAATTCTAGTTCGTAATAACGTAGTTCGTTATAATCATATATACAGCATATATACAACAAATGGTCGGGACTAAACAATAAGTTCGTTATATCGGTCACTTCGTCATAAGCGTGTTCGTTATAAACGTAGTTTACTGTAATCCATTTCGTAATGTTCTCTACTGTTTTATGTGTGTTAATGATTAAATAAGCCGCTGTGAATTTGTCATTGTTGACCAATATATTTATAAGGATTGACCTTAATTGAGGTATAAACGGGAAATCGGCTGTGCATACTTCGCGTAAATCTGCTATGTGGATTTAAACAGTGTAACCAAGCAATTTACATTTTGCGTGTGCACACCGATTGTTACGTTCCTTTCTTCATAAAGGAAAGAAATATTGACGTCAATTCTTAAATATCTCTTTGCAACGCTCTAGGGATATACACCGTCAAGAATGGTCCTGCACATATTCATCAGCACATTGTCTATGTTTCAAGTAGCTTTAGAGGCAGAATGGTTTCTTTCTGACTCAACTCTGTGTAAATTCATTTGCTCGTGTTTGAATTGTGTTCACGCAATTAAATATTGACATTTGGCGACAATATAACATTCATATATAGATGTTCTCGCTGTACACTCAGCCAGTCTTATGACGTTTTGTAATTATTTTTCCATCAATAGAAAATAACACATACCTAGTAAATATATACTCAACAACAAAAGCTTCTGTGACACCAATATTTTAGCGTATTTTTCAAACAAGTAAAGTTTGGTTTTCAATATTGTAGTACATGTATGGAATCAAGTCACAAAAACGCAACTTCTACTGAAAAGCATGCATTCAATGCAAAAGTGTACTTTTATGCAAGCCCCATGCATTTCACTACCCAAGAATGGGTATAAAAACATGTGCGTTGACGGGATTCCATATGCATTGTTTAGCATCGTGCTGACAACAACCACACAGAAAAACAACAAAAGTACTCAATTATTCATCATTACGAAATGCCACGCCTGTCCGAAAACGAGCTTCTGCGAGCCATTTGTATGCTTGAAGCAGGATCGAGTCAACGTGATGTTGCAAGAAAATTTAACGTCCACAGAAACACCATTTGGTGTTTATGGCAACGTTGGCATCAGACGAATGCAGTCAGAGACCACCCTCGGAGTGGCAGGCCACGCGTAACCAAAAATCGACAAGACAACTGGATTCGAACAACACACCTACGAAATCGATTCCAGCCAGCAACAGTGACTGCAAGAAGCATCCCTGGCCTTCGACGAATAACTTCACAAACCGTACGTCGCCGCCTCAGATGTGCAGGGATTGTCGCCATAAGACCCACCAGACGTCCCATTTTGACAGGAAACCACCGTCAAGCACATCTACAGTGGTGCAGACAGCGTCTACGCTGGACGGTCATGCAGTGGGAGAAGTTCTATTCACTGACGAGTCTCGTTTTCACCTCAGCCACAGCGATGGACGGATTCGAGTGTACGTCGAGGCGAACGTTACGTCAATCATTGTGTCATGGAAGAAGATCGGTTCGGGGGCGGCAGCGTTATGGTATGGGGTGGGATTACAGCAAGACAGAGGATTCGTTTGATAGTGGTAGAGGGAAATCTCAATGGACAGCGCTACCGCGACGAGATCATCGGCCCTGTTGTTCTACCGTTTTTGCGTCGTCATGGCACAGGCATTACCTTTCAACATGACAACGCCCGGCCTTGTTCAGGATTCTCTTCAACAAAACAACGTGAATGTCATCCCCTGGCCGGCTCGCTCCCCTGATCTCTCACCAATCGAGCACATGTGGGATGAGATGGATCGGCGCATTCGACGTCAACCACGTGTTCCACAGACACTCCAGGAACTTCGAAACACGCTCCAGCAAATATGGACAGATATCCCATAGGACTTTGTGCGAATCAGAAACTGTAACAAAAGATTACACTATGTGCTATATTCTACGTATCTGGGCCCACTTGCACAAAAGCGATCTTAGCACTACGACTATTGTAAGCCTATGTTAAAGTATGGAGTTACCATCATCTTAGCGCTAAGATCGCTTTGTGCAAGTGGGCCCTGGTCCTAAAGCTTTGTGAACTGTTTTTAGGTCGGTAGTTCCGTAACCAAGTAACACAAGATATCAGGTCTTGTATCCATTATGCATTGTGAAGTGGGTTAAGAATTTAGAGATAAACTAGGCTTTTAACAGTGTTGCAGTCATATCGATCTGGTTGCCAGCTTAATGTGTCTGGAAGAGAAATATGTCTGAACAGCGGGATAAGATTATTATTACCATGGGAATTTATATTATTCTATTTGCGTTGCTATGTCACTGCAGCAGTTGATCAGCAATACTTTCTTTTCTTTCATCAGAAATTGCTGGATAAGTATGAGTCGTAACTAAGTGTTTCTTAGTTATCACAGTTGTTATGGATGTATTTTAAATATATACTACTCAAATTACTAAAGAACCGCCCGATATGAAATATTAACCTATTTCAGTGGCATAATACGTGGTGATTGGTGTCCAGAAATACGGGCAGAAAAGTAATACGTGTCAGTTAATTTTTGATGAATTCTTTCAATGTTCATAGTATGCTATTGGGCTGCATTGTCGTTAAGTACCAGGTTCGATTCCTGTGTTCATTATGTGAAGTCAGTTGTAAGTGTACTCCCCGGGCACAACTACCCCCTTCTTATAAACGAGATGTGAAACATGTAAACTTACTCAGTGAATGGCAATGGTTCAGAATGAAATAGACCCGTGAAGATCCGGGGTAGAATAGGTCTTCAGCAACCCATCTTTGCCGTAAAAGGAGCCTATGCTTGTCGTAAGAGGCGACTAACGGGATCGGGTGGTCAGGCTCGCTGACTTGGTTGATGCATGTCATCGTATACCAATTGCGTAGATCGATGCTCATGATTTCAATCACTGGATTGGCTGGTCCAGACTCGATTATTTACAGACTGCCCTCGTATAGGTGGAATATTGCTGAGTGCGGCGTTAAACAACAAACAAACAAACAAACAGAATGAAAATAGTTGATTTTGACAATGCTTTTGTCGAGCTGCACCGTTGTTAACCTGTTTCTCAGACTAATTATAATGCGTGTTTCCCTACAGGATGCCTCCAGTACCTCACCAAAGATGCAGGGCGAGTGACATCTCCATTATTTCCATCAATGTACCCGGATGATGCGAACTGCTCCATCTACATTATCGTTGATAAGGGAGACACAATCGATCTACAGGTAAGCACTCCTACTTCAACTATCGTAAATCCGTGGGAGGGAATGGAAAGTCGGGTTGTCATACCAGGTTTCGATTTGCAAAAACTGTGTAATGTGTGTAATTATTGTCATTTGTCATAAAGCATTTTTTTCGAAATATTACTAATTAGTTGCTGGGGTGAGGTGAAATTTTGTACTTGCATGCACGTGTGTGTCTGTCTGTGTCTGTGTGTCTGCTTGTGCTAGGCCATACTAATGCCGAGTTTTTAGTGCAAGCCAACTGAATAACCACGCCGCAGTGTAACACGAATACCCCACTCAGACAGTGTACTGACTCCAAGCCGACCAAGCCCCTTAATGTCGACCGTAAGGCAGGGTAACAACAAATACCATGTTTTAACGTCTTTTGGTTTGACGCGGCCGGGGATCGAACCCGCCACCTTTCACCCAGACGCTCTATCCACTAGACCACTAGACCTCAGAGGCGGTAATAAGCAGTACAATATATGTACGTGATGGTATACTAACGGGACTTTCAGCGATGAATGTTTTAATCCAAAACAAGTCTGGATTGGGTGTATTTCTATTGCCTTTAAGTCTAATTTATTTGGTCGTATACTAGTGCCGTATGTTGCGACTTACTGGTTTGCCTGCTCCTAGCTTGATCAAGCATTATCATATTTTGGTCATCTAATATAATGTATTGGATATATATTAAGGGTACAGAGGTGGTCAAATGATCGATGGTGCCAACATTCGCTTTGTCGGGGGATGTCCATACTGTTTCATTGTTCCCAAACAATATAAACGACAATGCTCCAGAATGATTCCTGTATGCGCTGTGAGAACGCACAGTGGATTTAGCGGGAAATAAGTAGTAGTAGTAGTAGTAGTAGTAGTGGTTCAGACCCGATTATTTACAGACCGCCGTCTTCTTGCTGGAATATTGCCGAGTGCGGCGTTAAACAACAAACAAACAGTAGTAGCTATGGATTTAGCGGAATATAAATAGTAGTAGTAGTAGTAGTAGTATCCATACTGTTTCATTGTATTACATACATTATCTAAACGCCAGTGCCCCAGAATGATTCCTGTAGGCGCTATGAGAACGCTAAGCTTTTTTAGCGGTATATAAGTAGTAGTAGTAGTAGTAGTAGTAGTAGCAGTAGGTTTTTTTTGGTTTGGTTTGGTTTGTTGTTTAACGGCGGTCTGTAAATAATCGAGTCTGGACCAGACAGTCCAGTGATTGACAACATGAGCATCGATCCACACAATTGGGACCCGATGACATGCATCAACCAAGTCACCGAGCCTGACCACCCGATCCCGTTAGTCGTCTTTTACGACAAGCATAGTCGCCTTTTACGGCAAGCATGGATTGCTGAAGACCTATTCTATCCCGGATCTTCACGGGCCAGTAGTAGTAGTAGTAGTAGTAGTAGTAGTAGTAGTAGAATACTTATGCTCGGCGATGTCATCAGAGTTGTGCATGAAGCTGCTAAAACCATACTCGCTCATAAGAGAGGTAAACGTACTGCGTCAATATGGTCTCATATAAGTAAAATAAGATGCGTTAAAAGCCACTTCATTCATTATTAAATGCTCATTGACATTGACAGTGTACACCAAGCCTGTATTGCAGTGGACATCCAATGTGTGGATTTAATACCACGAGAGTGTTTTATCAGTTTCAGTACATGGATCTGGAAAGTCCTTATTCATCCAAGTGTTTTGACATGATGGAGGTGTACGGTAACAATGCCACGAGGGGACCATTCTGTGGAAAATGGACTCGGGAACGATTAAAAGACTTACGATTCCTTGCAACTAACTTCCTCAAAATTCGATTCGTCAGTGACAACAAGCTCAACAGCGATGGATTCCAGGCTGTGTATCAGACTACTCAACTGAAAGGTAGGACTCTTTTAACTTCAAGTAAATTTCGTAAGGAAATATAAGCGACAAAACCATTTTCCTTGCCACAGAAACCTTTCCAGAGTCGATTGTACGATTGCGATCTGTGACATTATTTTACAAAACGCCGTGATTAGTGTATTATGGATGAAATGAGATATCACAAATGTCGCAACCGAAGATGAGCTGATATTAATGTACATGTACAATCACACAATTACCAAGAAGATATGCGCTTATCGAAGAGTAATCCTGCAAGCTAAGTGTATGATTTGTTCAGGGCTATCATATGAAATCATGCCTTTTACAATGAAAATATACACGTATGGAATCAAATCCCTTTCCAAAGAAAGGTTGATTACTCACGAAGCACTCAAGGACCGTAGATATATATGACATATCTGTTTATTCAGTTCAATCCGGGACAAGAAAAACTGCATGCCGTCGCATAGATTACTATTCGTTGTTTAGTTTCAACAAACGCAGTAAGTGCGCTATAATGTCACTGGATCTTTTGGTCCATTATTTGATGGTTTGTTGTTTAACGCCGCACTCAGTAGTATTCCATCCATGTGCCGGCGGTATGTAAATAATCGAGTCTCCACCAGACAGTCCAGTGATTGACATCATGAGCATCGCTTCACGCAATTGGGACACGATGACATGTGTCAACCAAGCGACCACCCAATCCCGTGAGTCGCCTCTTACGACAAGCATAGTCGCCTTTTATGGGCCACCGTCGCATGGCAGGTGTTCTAATGTGCGGCGTTAGGCAACATACACTTAGTTGATAATGCAATTTGCGTGAGCTAAGGTTGCTACCGATAGGTCAGGATATGCTTACCCGTTTCGCACACACCTGGTTTCATAATTGGTTTTCATTGATTTTCATTGATTTTCATTGATCCATTCATACCTTTTTCATGACCATTTCGCCTTTTACGCCCGATGGAGTCCGTTTCGGTGAATATTCTATATTGATGACAATTAGTTTCAGTCGATGCATAATGATATATGAAGGATGTTTTCAATTTCACATGGTCTTTCATATTACTGTGCTAAGGGAACATCGGCTCTTTGCCGCATGTGATTGTCGTACGCATGCACACACATGATACGTTTGATAGATACTTCACCTTTAAGATAACGACCAACGCTATTATCACACTATTTTGGGCAATGGTTGTTATTGAAAGTTATTCGAAATGTGTGTAACCTGGCAACAAATGTAAAAGGCATTATTCCCATCTAAATTCAATGTACGGTCACCCTGGATAGTCTACGCTGTTTTCTATTTTACAATGCTGTATATTTCTTAATTGCAAAGTGATTGGTCAAAGTATGTTTGTATAACCTATTAAAAAGCTAAAACGATTATACAGCTAAAGCTTTTTTTAGAATCCAAGCGAAGCAATCATTTAAAACAATTTCTCGAAACAGGTCATTTTGTGAGAACTGTCAACAAACCTCGTCATATGTGTCAAGGTTGAAGACCCCACATATATGGCTTCTGTTAAAACATATTCACTTACACAAATAACATTGACTGTCCTCGGCTGTCTTTCAAGAAACTTTCTAAGGCATTGTTTAACACCTATTTCCAACTGTTTTTTATGTTGTGTTTGCGAACAACAAAATGTTGCAGGTATCTCTTCGGTAAACTTCCAAATGTGCCCTATATGTACTATGAGTTATAATGCAACAATTCGTTTATTCATCGACCAGAGAGCCAACGTATTGGTGGTCAATATATCATGCTTGCCTCACACACAAATTACCATGGGCGTGGTTCATCTGCGAGGACATATATATAACTCAATTTAGTAAGTCGTTGATGTAAGCTGCGGTTATTTGTTGATCATATGAGATGCATGGCTTAGTGCTAAATATCAGACCCGTGATGGTCCGGGGTATAGGTCTTCAGTAACAGGACATGTGCTATTGCACACCACCTTACAAAGGTCTTCAGTAACCCATGTTTGCCGTAACAGGCGATTATGTTTGTCTTTAAAGACGACTAGCGAGATCGGCTGGTCAGGCTCTCTCACTTGGTTGATGCATGTCATCGTATCCTAATTGCTCATGACATCTATCTCTGGATTGTCTGGTGCAGACTCGATTAGACCACCGTATGGTTGGAATATTGCTGAGTGCGGCGTTAAAGAACAAACAAACATACAATTAGATATTTTCAAGACTGATAGTTAATCCGTTTATGAATAGGGATATATGTTCTTAAGGGACCGACAATTTGATAATCGGCTTGGATTTTGTATTGAAATTACATGTAGATATTTTTTGTTCGCTTCTGCGATAAGACCATATATTTTATCATTTAAAATTATGAGCCTTCACTTTTTAAAGAAATACACCTTGTTGGGATGAACAAGTCACCCACGTCAGCGAACCTGACCTCCCGATCCCGTTAGTCGCCTCCTACGACGAAGTTCTATTCCAACCCGGATCTTCAAGGGTGTCATCCCTTAATAAATAGGAATACCTGTTATTTATTCAGTTTTCTGCTACGCATTGAAAGCACAATCGATAGATTCAGGGAAAAAAGAACACATACAGATAGAAATAGCTCTATTATCATAATTAGGGCTGTGTTTATCATGCACAGGATAGTTAGGTGATTGATAAACACGCTCTATGTAGTGAGGTGGTGAGGTGAAATGGGGTTTAACGTCGCGTCCAAGATTATTGCACTTATATCGCGACGTGCATGCACGTGTGTGTGTGTGGCTGCTTGTACTGGTCCGGACTGATGCCGATTTATAGTGCTAGCTCACTGAGATACCATGCCGCAGTTTAACACCCCACTCAGACATCGTATACTGACCAGTCCTTGTTTTAGCCCCTTAATGCCGAGCGCCATACAGGGTAAGAAACAAGTACCATCTTTTAACGTCTTTTGGTATGACGCGGCCGGGGATCGAACCCCGGACCTTCCGCTCTACCACAAGACCACGGAAGCGGTCCCGCTCGAGTTGGACCTTTATAAAAAATCGTATACGCACCCGTGCCTGGTCTGAACAATTATTGCCACGTCCTCGTTCTCTAAGTATGTGCGAGAGAATTTCTTAGGGAAGTTACTGATAAGATCTGGAGATCACCTGTGAAGCCAAACTATGAAATAAGTTTAAGGTATTTACCCCGTTTATATAATGGAAATATAATACACTGGATAATCAAAGATGGAACCGATGGCACAAAGACAGGTGTTTTTAATTACATAAACGAATCTATGTTTTTAAAATGGTGCAGCGCCAAGGACATATGTTCAATGTATATCAACATCGTAATTCGAGTAATCATGTAACACGGGCAAGTTTTATCCGATAGAAAAACGGCAACTGGTATTTGATTTTATAGTGGATTAATTTTTAACAACTTCAAGAAGATAGACTTGGGCAAAAAGATTTGTTTCAAGGTGTACATGTCAATGTGTATGCTGCAGTGTCGCAGTGATTCATCTAGACGCCTCCATAATCACGTTCTCAACGTCAGGACATGAAGTGTTGCTCTTACACACCACCTTACATGGCGTGCTCTGATATTTTCTTGTGTAATAAACAAGACTGTTCGAATAAGCCTCACGATCAAATTATTACCAACGTCAGAGACTTCAATCCGAAGAAACCAAATGAAATTCCCAGGTGTAACTCATGGAGTTGTTATTTTGTTATGGTTGGAGAGGTGAAATGGGGTTTAACGTCGCGTCCAAGATTAATGCACTTACATAGCGACATGCATGCACATGTGCGTGTGTGCGTGTGCGTGCGTGCGTGCGTGCGTGCGTGCGTGTGTAGCTGCTTGTACTTGTCCGGACTGATGCCGATTTATAGTGCTGGCAGACTGAGATACCGTGCCGTAGTTTAACATGAATACCCCACTCAGACACAGTATACTGACTCCAAGCCGACTAGTCCTTGTTTTAGCCCCTTAATGCCGAGCGCCAGACAGGTTAACAACAAGTACCATCTAACGTCTTTTGGTATGACGCGGCCGGGGGTCGAACCCCGGACGCTCTACCACTAGACCACGGAGGCGGTCCGTCTTGTTATGACTGGAGTGACTGTAGGTCATATACCTGTGATAATCCTAATAGTCACATAACTCACAGACGATTAACACATAGCAAACAGTTTACCTATACCAGCTGAACTAAGCTTCTCAATCAAGGTTTCACCCATCTTCGTTGCGCGATTTTGATTGGACTACGCATAGAAGCGTTAGCCCAGCCAAAATGTAACATCATATTACCAACCTAGTTCGGCAAGGGTGGAAACTAGACTTTTATACTCAGTTAGCTCTCTTGCCTCGGGAAGATGGGTTTCACCAGCACGGTCTGGTTGATATAAAACGTCAACGCAAGAGCATAACCAGTCTCGATTATCTAACAGTTTCCATTGGGTTTTAAAGGCAAAATGGGGCGGTGTGGTAGTCTAGTCGTTAAAGCGTTCGCTCGTCTCGCCGAAGACCCGGGTTCGATTCCCCATGTGTGTACAATGTGTGAAGCCCATTTCTGGTGTTCCCCGCCTTGATATCGCTGGAATATTGCTAACAGTGGCGTAAAACCAAACCCACTCAATCACTTAAAGGCAAAATAGTGATGATCTTGTTTTAACCTAAGTCATTCCAAAAATATTATGGTAGACATTCAGAGGTATTTACTTAATTGGCCCCCTCCTGAGCAAGATGTGTGAAGCTATGACATGTACATGAAGTTTCCATACCTCCTTACAAGCTCCTTACTTCTTCTTATGAAAATTGCCTGAGTGGTGGGCTTCGTAGTACACCAAACATCTGGTGTCATCACTGATATTCAGTGATCCATTCATATATGTTTCCATCACTATTTTGCCTCCTACGGCCAGTGGAACCTGTTTCGGCATATAGTCGTGACGGTTGCTTTCTGGCGTTGACGTGTCGAATTCTCATATCATTTGTTTGAATCTTGGACATGGAAGCTGTATCCATTAAAATCTAACAGTTTA